TTCAGTCTGGATGAGATCAACTTTTGGGAAAGCAAGTCCATGTGAAATTAACTGTAAACGTCAGCTCTACTCATATCGTTATGGGAAAATTCTACCACCATTTCAATTGGGCGAATACACCTCAAACCTTCTGAAGGAGGGTCAAATAGGCGGCGAATAGCTCGCTGCGGCCTCGAGCCCCACTTGGCGTTTTCGGCGCCGGTACCGGAGGCGAGGTCTCTTGACGGCGACGCCAGTTCCGGTGCACATCGACCCGCAGCTGGACGGTTTGAACCGGAGCCACATGTTGCGACTGAGCTCGGCCATCTCTCGTCTCTTTCCTTTGCGTCGCTCGAGTCCGTTTGCGTCGCTCGAGCCGCGAGCCCGAAGATGAATTTGGACCAGAAACTGATCGCGCCCGACTCCTGCCTGATCAAGTACCGCGCGCCGATTCGCATTTCCGACAAGAGCGCCGGACCCGCGCCGGCTACGGCCACAGCCTCGCCGACGGCGGCGACGGCGTCGACGTCGTCATCGTTTCTCGCCTCGCCCTCCGACGAGCCTCGACAGACCGGGCCCGACAAGCGCCAGGCATGGCAGACGAAGCGATCAGCCTCGCTCTCGGACGCCCAGCGCCAGGCCAAGGAGCAAGTGTTGCCGTTGGCGGCCAAAGCGGCGCTGTTGGATGGCGCCGCCAGCGTGAGGACCCTCGAGTCGACGGAGAACATTCTGCAGAGCATTCTGCCTCCGAAGCGATTCTTCGTCGACGCGATGCTCTACATTCAAGAGGTCTCCTCCTGTCCCGCCTCGAGGATCGACGTCGTCCAACTGACGCGCCAGTTGGATCATCAGTTGGAGTCCCGCGGCGCCAAGATGACCGGCATTTGCCCAATCAGAAGAGAGCTCTTCACTCAGGTGAGCTGAACTGAGCCCATCCATTACACACCCGAAACTGGAATGTATGTGTGTGTACATGTGTGTGTCGGTGTGAGTGTGTTTCGTGCTAGGTGGCCTCGAGACCAACCAACCGACTGCTGGTCTCGAAAACCTACTTTTTATGAGACGAAAAATGAGTAATATATTCGATCGCTATGGCAAAAAAACAACTTTGCTTCTTCCAAAATCCCACCTCAGAAATGTGATATCGCAAAGTGCCCG